GTGTATCTCCCTATGTAGTGTTGTTTTGTCTATGGTTTTCCAGCCGGTTTGTACTTGAACGTTGTAACCTTTGTTTGTGATTTATTTTATTCATCTATCGCTTGGAAAAAAAAGGGGAATCGACTCTTTCACCCATTATTCATATTTAATTTTCCCTTTATTTTGCTGCTATTAATGGAAGTTCCCTTTGTGGTTGATTGAAGCTCTAACCGGGCCTGTAAAAGAAGCATTCGATTCAGCCCGGGCCAGTTTGAGAGCTGTCCGGGAGGCACATGTGACTAACAGCGCCTTGGAGAAAAGTAGAAAACTTGACGGGCTGACGAGCCCTCTGCTGCCAATAAACTCAGAGGCAGAGGTATGTTTGGGGACTACCACCTAAAAGGTAAGAATTTCATTGTTTTGTTTTGATTGTCCATTTTGTTCTTACCTTATCATATCCCAGTGGCTGGTCATAATCGTTGTTTGTCCATTTTATTTTTACAAAAGTAATTCTTAAATATATATCAAAGCTCTGATATTTGAGACTAACATATGTGTATTTGTTTTAGAATGCTCTTGGGAGAGTGTTTAGATTCTTGTTCAAAGGATTAACTAGCACAACACAAACAACATTTAGAATGAAGTTTGAGCAACATCAGGCACGAAAAGTATACCAACATAATATGCATTTTTATTCTACTAACCAATAATTGCATGTATAGTGGAAATTAATAGGCCGTATAACATAAGCACTTACTTGATTCAATGATTCAAATGAGGTCTGGTATAGTTTTATAGTATATACACAATATTCTTGTAATGGCATTGTTTGTGTTCATATAGGAAGAAAGGTGATTTCAGGATTACTTGTATGATGCTCCGGAATCAATTAGAGACGAGTTTTCTTTCGGTGGAGGTTCAGAATAATCATTATGCTCCCCACAAAAATTTTTGGTGGTTATTTGTTGTAGTGAAACTTTGTTTTGTGATTGTGACACTTATCAGAGAAATATTCGGATAAGCCGAACCAGGCTGATGAATGGTTCAAGCATGGAAAGATTGTAAGTTCTATTTTCTTAGTTTCTTTTTTACAGGTGCATCTATTGAACACAACAAGTTGTATTCTTTTTCTTAATTAAGGTGATAGCACACCCAGGTGGTGGCACTGGTGAGAAGGCAAATGATCCGACTTTTGGACTTTCTATGACTGGCTCATCACAAGCATCAAGTGATCTGTTCAGGTAATGTTGATTTTTAGAGTTCTTCATGAAAATCATAAACTTAAAAAACCAGGCTTATGTACCATGCAAATATTGAAAAAGCATTGTATGCAGGGATTACACCATTTGAAGAACGTGATCGTTTTGTGCAATAGATGGTTTTGCGTCGAAAGTGGGAGACCCAGTAACCCAACTATTCTTCTAATTCATGGTTTCCCACACAGGTTAGTACTTTATATGGCGTCTTAATGCAATTTCTGCTTGTGTTGTTTATATTGCCAATATGTTCATACACAACTTGATTCGTTAACTGACATAAAGTAAGTATTATTAGCCTACCACTGAATACAAGTTGAACTAAATCATCTAGCAACATCAACATATATGATTATCGAGTACAAGAAAATCTTAGTCCTTAAACTTTGCTATTACCTGATCTTTGTTTAATAATATGTAATGTTGTAGAATGTTACTCACCTAATATATTGTTTGTGTTTATGCTCTTGGCATATTCATTTCGCAAAGTCCTACCTCTGCTGTCTAAGAACAATAATCTGCAGTTGATTTTGATTGGTTGGGTAAGCTTAAATTACCAACTTTTGGTAGCTTCAAATGTGTCTTATATTTCATTACCAGGCGACACTCATTCCGCGTATATTTTCAAGTAATTCTACGTGACAGGATTCGAATATTTGGATAAACCATAACCCAAGTACGAGTTTGACTACATTCTTAAAGGTTTGAATCCGTTTTGATGAGCTTTCCAAGATAAAACAAAGAATAGATAATGCAAGCAGATAACTTGCTGAAAAATGTATCCTAGCTTTTAGAATTTGTGGAATCCATTGTTGTGCATGTAGATTTTGTTTCGCATTCTAATTAATGTAATTTGGTCTTTGTTGATAAATGATCTTAAAAAAAATATATATATTTTTTTTTTCTTATTCTTTATAGGGGAACTTTTCACCTGTTGTGGTCAAGTATGGTAAAGACCATCAAGAAAAGATCGATAAACGGGTAAGAGTCCTCAATCATCAATTTTAATATCTTAGCTTTGTCATATATATGTGTGTGAGTTTGGTAATTAGTTCAGGTATTGCTTTAATTCGTTATATGTTTAGCTTCAAGACTTCTTTAAAAGTTTATGATCGATTATGAGATGGTCTAAGTGAAAAGAAGCAATTTAGTGCTTTATCTGAAACATTATTGTTGTTTGTGGCATCAATAGGTGTAAGACTATAATTTTTTTGGTCATATACATGCAGTGTAGACATGTACTATATAAATTATATTATGCATGTGCCTTCTAGAAGCAATATATACTCTATACATCTAACTAAATATGGGATTTTCGACCACCTTATTCATTTTTTATATGCTACGTAGAATGCTTCAATAATTCTATCTACCTTTATACCATAATACATAGTTTGTTCATTGCTGGTTGCATAAGTCTTCCTTTTGTTCATTTGTTTATATTTATTTTGTGTGAATTTTTTTATTGTAATGTTGAAAAACAAACAAAGCATTGTTAACTCCCCTTCATTAAGTGTTGTTTTTAGTAGCCAGATTAAGGTCTACATTTATTTAGCATTAGATTGTTACCTAATTTAATTTGCAAGATGTTCATTGGTCTAATGGTGCAACAACAACTTTGGTGGACTACATAATTAATTTTTGTAATCATATTTCAGTGAGTAGTGTGCACATTCATGTTATTTGTTTGTTGCCATTTATTTGAGTTTTCTCCTTACAGTCTGTTATTAACTATGAACTATGCTTGTTCCATTAGGAAAGTGATATTTAATATGTTTATAAGATACTTGTGTCTTCTTAGAGCATCTCCAATGGGTTGTTAATTGTAAAAATATGGAAGATGTTCAACAAAAAATGTCTCCAACCGTGAATGTCTAAATTCTATTCTTCATGACATGGCTAGAGAGAGAAGGAATAAAATCTAGAACTCCTTCTACATGTAGAAGTCTTGTTAGACATGATGAGTTATATTTTCAAAGCTGAATAAATAAACCACTGGAGACCTTTTATGTGTTTGAACATCTATTTCTTCCACGTGGATGAAAAACCATCTATTTAATTGCCACATACACTACAATTCATGTTTACCATTGGAGATGCTCTTATTGTGTAAAAAACATCATTTTTAGGCATTTTGACATGTGTTTTTACTACATTATCCCTACCTCAATTTTGGCTTATTCTTTCCTCACAATTCGACTAATTTCACAATAAAAAATTTTCATCTCCCCCGCTCGGCTCTGGAACCTCACGACCACCTTCAAAAAATTCATCTTCAAAAAATTCACCTTCATCTTTAAAAAATTCACCGGAATTCTTGCCGCCCTTCAGGACCTCGTCCGAACGCCGCCCTTCACGACCTGGACCGAACGCCGCCCTTCACGACCTCAATGGAACGTCATCCGAACGACGGAATGACCTCGCCGGAATCTGAAATCAACGCCGCCCTTCACGACCTCGACCGAACGCCGTCCGAACGACCTCACCATAATCTGGAATCAGGTAGCGAAAGTGACGACCTCCCATTTTGGTTCAAATCAGGGTTTTTTTTCGTATTAGTTTTTTTTTTTTGTTTTTAACTTTTATTCATCTTACCAAGCCATTGTTGTTTCAATTTGAAAAAGAGTTTGAGCCTACGAAGTCAAATTTGTTCCTGTAAGAACATTATGTTTTTTTTGTACTTTCTATTTTTTTTTTCTTTAAATCCAAACAAGTTTGGGAATGTTAAGAGTGATATGTTCATCATACTTGTGAAATTTTAGATGTCATGTGTTCAACTGTTTTGTGTGTGTTAATATACTTTCTTTTTTCAAGAATATGATTTGGTTGGATTACGAAATCAAACAAGCAACCGTGCCTTTCTAAAAAAAAATAAAAATTAATGAATTATTCAATCTGTCTAACATATAGCCATGAAGAGCTTCTATTGTAGAGAGACTATCATGATTTATGATTCGTATCTATTAGGAAATGCTTATTGGTACCCTTGGAATAAAAAAAAGAATCGAAAATAAAATTTGAAGCTCCATTATTAAATCTTTTCTGCAACGAGGATATTGTCTGCTTGTTCGCCAGTCATTTTTCCATAATGATGTAAATAACTTTGCGGAGGTTGGTGGGGGAGTTCTTGGCTGCCGCGACTTTCACTTGAGCTTCAAAACGACACAAAGTGGCTTATATTTGAACATTGGTAATATTAAGGTCCTGTTTAATTTCGACCTTGTACTTCATTTTTATAGATTTATCGCTTTTTAACTACTGTTGAAATGTTACTAGATGTGTCTACGACTATGATTATCCAACATGGGCCCGTGGTTGACTTTCTGATTGCCAACCAAAATGTGCGAGATCCCTTCTCAGTTGACTGGTCAAAGGCAAGAAGACAACCATTTTGATGTATATTCTTTTGCAATTCTTTAAAATTATACCTTTTCTGATAAGATTTTTCACCTTTGCTATCAGGAAAAGCGCACACTCAAGAATTCGAGGGTGACAACAAGTCCCAGTAACCAGGAGTTCAAGATAACTGGGATAAGTGACAAGAATTGCAGGGAGCTAACTTATGCTTCCTATTTTTGTCCCTTCAAAGGTACACAAAAGCTTTGTCTACGTTTCAAAGATCATCACTGGTGGAGAAATCTCGACAGAAACCACATGAGAGGATGTTTGTTTTGAGCAATGTAGTGTCTCTTCCCTTTAAGACTTCTGTTTCCAATTGAGCATTCTTAGTTTATATCTTTAAGCTGCTTCTGGTGTTCATCGCAGGCTTTGAAAATCAATAACTATGATGCAGAGCCTATGCTTCGTGCTTGTGGCGTTTTTATTAACAACTTTACTCAGATTGAAGGGCGTGTTTTACAGCCACCGAAGGTATGTCTTGAATTCAGTTATTACTTGTTATTTTTATTTGTATCATGTTGTATAATTTTGTTTGTCGTAATTTTGGATTGCTTTGCCTGGTCTCTGATGACCATAATTGCATTTAATTGAAGTTCAAAGTCGGCAATGGAGAAGATTTGTTTACTCGCAATGGGGGGTGGAATTTTAATAACAAGGTAAAACATATTCTAGTTAGGCTAATGTCATGTCAGTTCAACGTATTGGTCTTCAGGGAAAAAGAAACTGAAGCAACTCTATTTTTGGCAAAAATTCGCGAATCCATGCAAGGTGGAACGGTGGGCAGTGGTGAACTTTTCTGCACGCTGTGACATGCGTGGTCTAATTATAGATTTGAGCAGGATTGGTGAATCAAAAGGAATAGTATGTTATCTCTTAAAACCTTATTGTTTTATGCATGGGAATATAAAAATCATTTCGCTGGGCATTGTAACTTGTTATCTCATTGCATCAGAATGTGGAAGCCCCATTTGATGTTTTTGAAGAAAATAATTAGCACAGGCAGGCCCCGCCAGTTATTAGGGTTGATAAAATGTTTGAGTTAGTACAATTCAAGCTTCCTGGTCCACCGAAGTTTCTACTCTGTTTGCTTCCCGAGTGGAAAAACTGCAATATATACAGTTTGTTTTTATGTTTCAAGAATATCATGATTTTCTCACGAAAATCAATAATGAATTTCACTTAAATATGACAAATAACTTGAGCTGAAAAATCGTCAAGGCCCGTGGAAGCGTAAAAATTTGGCAGACTGGGGGGTTGTTACTCAGTGCCTGGCTCCTTCACGAGTCACGAGTGTGATGAATATCTGACTAATCTCATGCTGAAGATCAATGCAAAGGTCAGTGGGTGATGCATAATCTGTATCCTGTTGTCATGAGCACTTTTATTTGATTAAAGATTTTCTGAGAGAATGCACTTTTATTTTTTATTTTTTAATGTCAAATACTTTTTTGAACAACTATATTACTATTTATATTTAGAAAACACACATCACTTATACGGCTTACCGTCTTATAGTAGTAGTTGCCTCTGAGTACTCTATTAGCAAGACAAAATGATGTGTTTTTCAGTCAACATATTTCATTATGATTTTAGTTCTTCTTTCTTTTTGTATAATCATTTTGTTTTGAACATGCAACACGTTACCGACAGGGTGGGTCCCCGCACTTCTTCGAGCAGGCAGAGGGATGACACTATGGAAAAACGCCATCAAAGAATCACCTCCTTTTAAGCTGGAACTTTGCATGTATAGGTGGTTTTGCATGTAAATATGATTTTGTACAGTGTGGCTACGCTAGGCGCCTTCTCTTAGTTGCCTAGGAAGAGTTTTTACCGGCTTCCCTATCATCAGATTAGGATGATGCCAGTTAGCCTTAACAAAAAGGAAGACCCCGTTTCCCGAACGCAGCATACAACTCTCCGTTGTACTGCGCTCTCCAAGTGTGCTTGTTCCTTCCCATTCAAGCCCGACTTTACTTATTTTTGAAACTGGCTTCGCTTCGTCCCAGAACTCAAGAAGCAACAACTCTACTATTTAGGTCTTCTCTCATACCTCATGACCAGGCCTGTATTTTGGCTCTTTTAGTTTAATAGCAAGTTAATTTACCGTTTCAGATAGAAAATTTATGGTATTTGTTACTTGTGAAAAATGTTGTTTCAGCTTAACATTTCATATGTTGGTTATTCTTACGAATTCAACAATAATATCATACGACAAACTCCCCAAACGCATAAAGTTCATCTCTGCCTGTCCATTTTTATAAACATTCTCAACCCAAAATTTGCTATGTACAATTCAAACTTTTTCACACATCTGTAAAACAAAGAATGAAAAAATATTTTACTGACAAACAATTCCAAATAACGATTTGAGAATTAAGTAATCAATGTTTATAATAAAACATATAAAATTTGAACCAGAAATGATTTTGGAATCACACAAATGGTTTAAACAATTCGAAACCTTTTTTGAGATGTATCTACCGTTTCTGGGATTTCATAAACCATGTTGGGGATTTAAAACATATTTCTGGGACCAAAAATGACGTTTCTGGGTCCCCAGAATCGATTTATGGACCCAGAAATATAGAAATCATTTGTGGTTCCAGAAGTCGATTTCTGCGTCCAGAAATCAATTTCTGGATTCAAAAAAGATTTTTGGGACCAGAAATGACATTTCTGGGTCCCAAAAATCGATTTCTGGACCCAGAAATGTAGAAATCATTTGTGGTCACAGAAACCGATTTTTGGGTCCAAAAATCGATTTCTGGACCTGGAAATCTATTTCTTTCTGGTCCAGAAATTGATACGAGAGCCAAACAAGGTCGAGCAGGGGGGAAATAGTAAACAGGAGAAGAGAAATTCTCACAAAAGATAGGTAACAAAAGCAATTAATAATATGGGGGTGAATACCGCCACGTAAACAAGATAATAATATTAGAATTTAAGTGCGGAATTTAAATACTTGAATTTAAAGTATGGGGCTTTGAAGGCCAACCACATAAAAGAAAATAAAGTTGCGGAATTTTTTCCAGCAGTTTTGTGCGGAATTTAAATGCGGAATTTAAAGTGCGGAATTTAAATTGCAGAATTTAAATTGCGGAATTACTTCCAGCAGGTATTTGCATAAATAGTAAAGAGCGGAATTTAAATTGCGGAATTACTTCTAGAAGGTATTTGCATAAATTAAAGTGCGAAAAGTAAATTGCGGAATTACTTCCAGCAGGTATTTGCATAAAGTAAATAGCGGAATTTAAAATTTATGGGGCTTGAAGCCAATCATAATAAGGTATTTAAGTACTTTAGTTTTTGTTAGTTATGGGGCTTGAAGCCAACTATATACCTATATATATATATATATATATATATAGTTATAATAATAGTAGTAGTAATAATAATAACAAAAGCAATTATTTAGTATGTTAACACAGGTGGTAGAACCAACCATGTAACATATAATTATAATTAATATTAATATGGGGCTAGTACCACCATGAAAGTAAGAAAAGAGAACACTTATGGGGCTGAACCACCACAAAAATAAGTGTTTTTAAAAGTATGAATAAGAACTTAAACATAAATGAACAAGAACTTGAACATATACGAACCTTGTATTGGTAATCGGTGTTTGATATAATAATTACTCCAGGCCTTCAAAGCTTTGAGTAATCTTTTGAATAATCAATACTAACACTACACTAACAATACATATGAGATTTGAGAGAGTTTTAGGAATTTGAGAATTTGAAGAACATAAAAGAAAAGTTAAGCTATGGAAGCTTAAACCGTTCTAAATGCTCTCGGCATTTGGAGAGGAAAGAGAGGAGAAGAGAGGATAGAACTTATGGAAGAGAGAGTTGTATTCTATATCTTATGAATTGTCTTGTTGATTGTGTTGTGTATTGTGTTTTGTATTGTTTGTGGGGTGGTTTATATAAATGGAGTTTGAAGACATGATGGGGTGGGGTAGAATGGTTTTATTTTCAACTTCATCATGATTATATTTTGATCTTTCTTGATTTTTTTTTATGTTTTTATTTTTGATATATTTTTTTATTTTAATATGTTTTTTCATTTTTTCTTGATTTTTCTTTCATCATCATTTTTCTCCTTTTCTTTTCTTTTTCTTAAGTTATTACATCATCTTGAATAAAACAACTAAACCCTAGGAAATAAAATACATAATTTACAATACTTGTACAATATAAATTTTGAAAATTCATTCGAGAATCTATCCTGCATCGTCTTCATGTTTCGTGCCTTCATTCATGTACCCATGGTTGTGATAGGGAGGCATGTATGTGTTTGTAAAAAGATTATTGTTTTCTCTTTCACCCACCTTGTACCTATTCAATTTGTATACGTATGCCGTTCTAAGTTCAAACGGGATATAGAATCGGTGGTTGTTCACATAGAATTTATATATTTTATTATGGTATATAAGCCTGTTGCGTTATGTCTGAAGAATTTTCTCATCTAACTTTGTAGCTAGCATTCTAGCTTTCCATAGTGCAATTTGTTCTCTAAGGAGGGTCTCACTTTGAAAGTTGTAGTAAAGACCATGTTCTTGCGTTTCAAACCTACATGTGTCACAGGTGAAGAGGATGACGTGCTTTACTAGTTCGAATTCAGAATTTATCCACTCTGGAGCTATTGACCTGATCCTAGCCGTGACATAGGCTTTGTTCGGGAAATATAGTTTTTGTTGCTCAAACATGTATGATGGGTCTGCTTTCAGATCTAAAGAGAACCGATGAAAGTGAGCCCAGATCTGTCAAAATCGCCTTCGAACCGTTGCTAGACCGCGAGAATACCTGCAAAAACTCAACGACGGAGGGGTTTCCGGCGTAGAGCCTCCGACGCTCAAGTCAGTATGTGAGAGAGATGGAGAAGGATGCTCTTAGAAAGCAGCAGCTATGGAGGAGAGTATAGAATGAATGGAAGTTAGGGTTTGGGGTTATCTCAGCTCCCTTATATAGAAGCAAAATATTTACCTGAAGTTCCCTAAATGCCCCGGCCGACTTACTGGAAATTTCCAATAATACCCTGGTCGGTTCGCATTCCGTCCATCTCCTAGTCAGCATCCAGATTCCTTCTTATCCTTAATAGTTTCCTTATGATATGTTTGAAGTATACCAGAGTCGTCGGAGATCTATGAGCTCCGAGACGTCCCAAGTCGACTCGGGGTACCGACTCGAGTCGACCTGGGTCATCCTCAATCGTCAGTAGATCCTGATACGCCTGTCCATCTTTTTGAGGGGAGTCGACTTCTGCTAGTCGATATCTGAAGGTTACCTAAGAGAGACATCCGGGCCCTGATAGACCGGAGATAATACAGGTCCACGAGAAGAGTCGACTTCGAGGAAGTCGACTCGATAACATCTGAACCGTTATACGACAGTATGGCTATATCATCTAGTCCCCCCAAAGACTACTCGAACCGATTCTGAGCATAAGAGTAAATTTGTTGATTGAGTAATTAGCCTGAGCCTTTCCGCATATTATATTTTACTATACATGTCTCCTGGGATTGATCTCATTTCTTCTCGATCGATTTCCTTGTTCCTAATCGTCTTCATTTGCTCCTCGACTCTCGGGTAGCCCTTCTCGCTTTACATGTGCAAATTCCTATATTGGTTGGATAAGCTCAAGTTTCCTTTCAAATTTCAAAATTTGAAAAAGGTATGGAGTCTGACAAGACATTTCTCTTTCCACCGCTTCGTATACCGTGCGCCATCTCAACCGTCGGACCTGCCTTTAATCTGAGGGTGTAACACCCCGCTTTTCGTACATTGTATTTCTAGAATAAATTTTTCTTTTTGTAAAACATTTGAAAACTTTACTTGGAACTCAGGGTACTACTC